GATGATTAAGAAGGATTTTTAAAACCAAAAGTTATTTTTTCTTCCAATGCAAAATTTAAAGAAGACATGGTTTCCTTCCAAACCAGTGAATGAAAGAATATTTTTATGAGCGTTTTCTATAAAATATATTTGAACTTATAGGGGCAATGCCCTTACTACATAAGTAGCCATTTTTGCGAAATATAGTTCACACAAACAGTCGATGAGGACCCAATTCGAAAACCGGTGTCGGGACGTGACTGGAATGTCGTAGTACTATGCCACATGCTAATTAGTATGACAACCCCATTTAAGTGAATTTTCGAACTGAAATTACGTACCAAAATTGCAGTCAACCTTTCATGAGATAGCATGTCTACTGTAACTAGACTTCAGCAGACCTTGACAACACTGTCTTGCATGTCCTATCTCTTGGTCCTACGTTTTGCATTCTGCGGCGATTACCGTAGCTATTGCATTTAAGAAATCTTTTGGAAGGTTTCTTTAGTCATACTAACGATTTAAAACGCTCGAAAATAGGGAATTCGATTACTGCAAATACACCCTGATAAATTGTTACCAACATTATTTAACGAAGGCTCCAAGAAACAAATGTCCCTTGACAAGAGTTCACCTCGTTCGTTTCTTGAAAACGCAAATATTGGTCTGATCAGGTCAGACAAGTGTTTGGGAGTATAGCTGATGAACAGGACGAATTCTATGACAAAGAAAAAAGAAATTCTTATTGAATTTATTATCTTCTGAAAGCCGAGATGGACAGAGACCAGATCAAGGCTACCGAGGGTTAGATGACAAAAATGCCCAAATATCCTCACAAAGGAGGTCTTCTCTTTGATAGGGAGTTTGAGTGGCTGAGAGCTGTGGACACTACGATACCTAGAATATACGGCCTTGAAAGAATTCACGCACACGAGCTGCTCTTTTACGCCGTCTATGATATGAAAAATTCGTTTTTTCACACCATTGCGAAATGTCTGGCAGAATTCCAACGCCTCATAAATTGAAAGACGCCCTTGAGTTCGTCGACGGTGGGCGGAATATTAACGGTAGCGGGCCGAGGGATGCTGTGGTAAGTTGTGTCGTTAGTATTTTCTTGCGTACCCATAGTAGACATAATAAAGTACCTATGGGACTCTATTCGAGATATATACCACTATATAGGCATGGCATAGAAAACCCCGAAATGGCTGCCTGCTCGATGCAAAAAAAGTTCCAGTTTAACTGAGCGCTAGCTGTTCAGCCATACAGAGTGTATGGCATGGTATCACCGCTTGAACCGTTTCTTTCAAATATTCACGTGGACATGGTAGAGAATACGCGTTTGGCGGATAACATTGGTGCTGGGAATTCTACGGTCGGCACGTTGACGAGGCCTCTGCCTGACAAATGACGCCATCGACACCGACGTCCTAGTATAGAAGTTTACTAACACGCAGCACTCAGTAAAGTTTTCTGCAGAGCCTGTGACTAACAGTGAAATCTCTTTCCTCGATGTTGTTCTACAGAGAAAATAAGGTGGATCTGTTCAGCGTATAGTATTCCAAACGGAAATGTGGACAGAACAGTACATTAATTCTCTCCGTTTTGTTTTTTTGATTTTAAACGGGGTTTCGCGGCTTGAGTACGCAAATCTACTCTCCCAAAACTGTTGAAACAGCGCTCGAGCAGCTGCAGAACATATTACGCGAGAATGGTTAGCCAGATAGAGGAAGAGACACTTATCGCAAAGCCTACCACTGCGCTCGCAGAAAAGGAGCGCTTATTCTAAGACTGCCTTTTCCTGGGGACTCATCGATCGAACAGGTAAGATGACGTTTAAAGACAGCAATTATGAGCCCTGTCCCCGCTCGAACTTAAGCGCATTTTTTACAAGATATCCTCCCGTAAGCCTGGAAGGTAAGGGCAGACTACCATTGAAGACCACATTCGTGTGTACTTATGAATTCACATGTACCTGTGAAGTGACTGCACCAAAAACAAACACAAGGAGAGTGCGAAAGGCGAATACATACCTGTCCGGCTAGGTAGACGTGAAAGTGGATCGATGTCGAGTTCTATATTCACGCATCTAGTCGATACAAGTAATCTAGTCGATGCCGAAGAGCCTTTCAGAAAACTTCTCTAAAGACCTGCACAACAGGTGCAGCAGCTGTCAAGGCAGTTATGAAGTCCAGCATTTTGTTATTAGGAGACGTTAGTACGAGCGTTCTGTGATCCGTGGTCAACAGCGACGCCTGGTGGCGATAACATGTTGTCCCAATCCCCTGACGGCGTTAATATACACTGTGCCCACTCGACTTACAGGCATCGCTCACACTCCACTTCATCTCATCTCTACTTTAGTTACAGTGATCGGAACATGCTCACCTCGCAATGTGGGCGGCATGGAAACGATGACTAATAATAAGCCCTGGGGCACTCCTAGAGCACGTCATCTTGCCATATTTTCATTGCCTACATAGCTGTATGGGCCGGATAGTGAGTTAAAGAAAGGGCACGCTTGCCAACTTGACTTTTTAGATGTACTATGGAACATTTCATAGAGTACACAGTAAAACGAACAAGTTCGAGTCATTGTGTCGTAGGATACAACTGAACTCATCTCGACAGGTAGCAGATAGTTTTCAATAGTTTCCACCTCATCATTTTGCGAATTACTGTTTGTCATCAGGAATGCGTGTGCGACACGGCGGTAAGGGTTAAAATGGAGGTTGGGGTTGTAGTTGGTTTAGGTTAAAGTTTTGCGTTGAGTATAGGGCCAAGGCTTGGGTTACCGTTAGGATTACGGCTAAGATACGGGATTAGAGCATTGCCACCTGTGCTCCGAGTGGCCCCATTTCCGCGTCTTGTCCTATTTTCTCGCATCTCTGCAAACTACTGACCGCGCTCAGCTATTTCTACAGGCCCAAAAAGGACGGAAAATTCGCGTAAACTTGTCGTGTCACATACAGTCGGGTTTTCCCTTTTGGGAACTAGAATTTGATGTCCATTCCAGGCTCAGACGGAGTTCTTGTCTGCACGAATCGCCAGTTTTTGACCGGACATGTTCCACCCATACACTTTGAGTGAGCTTTTAGATTTATCGTCGTAGCCTCTCCAGTGATCACTTTCCCGGCGCTTGTTTGTCGGTCGACGCCCGCGACAACCGTGCAAACCTGCAGGCACATCGCTCACCCACGGCCATCCCTCAGGCCTGACCTGAGACACCTCTTGTCCAGTTGAGGTGGGTCTCCGCGCCCTCAAAAACGAACCATATCTTAAAGGTGTCGAACGACGCGGCTTGTCTCCAGCGGGCCCTCGTGATCACACAGACCCTGACTCAGCACTTCCACTGACGCATCACATGTCCCTCACTCATCCAATCACTTGCTTGTACTGGCGTAGACAGGCCTTACTCGCGTGAGCGATGCTCCGCTACCTACCCGCTGCCGAACGGACGCCTTGTTCTGACACGAGCAAACAGCCAACTCACGCCACCCTGTCCTGTGTATAGAATATATCGTCATTTACAGCTCATAGACTTCTGACGTTAGACAGGACGAACTGAGGGTGTGTTTGGTTACACTTTACCTAACATCCTTGATTCCGACAATGCTACCCTCTCCGAAAACCCGGTATGATGTAGTTATGTAGTCGCACCTGATGGACACAGTATTGTTCACCTAATCAACTATTTCGAGTTGGTATGATTACGCTGGCATGGTGTTGCTGTGCGTTGCGGTGTGTGTTCTGTTGGCGGCCTTGTTTGTTGCGTGTCTACATTTGTCGGCCCAATGCTAGTTATCCTTCTTGACTTTTGGCCTGTCATCTCCATCCAACTTTCGGTTGGATGCTAAAGGGTTAGGTTTTGGGGCTGCGGTTAAAGGCTAGGGTTAAGGTCGGCGTTAGGGTTAGGGAGCTGATTGTTAGGGTAAAGGGTTAGAGTTAGGCGTTACGGTCAGGGGTTAGGTTTGTGGGGCTGGTGCTCAGGGCTGATGGTTAGGTTAGGCGTTAGGGTTAGGGGTTAATGTTAGGGGGTTAGGGCTTAGGAGTAGGGGACATGGTTAGGGATTAGGGATAGGGTCAGGGGTGGGGGTTGGGAGTTAGGGTAAATATTTCTCAACCACTCAATGTACAACCGCACATTCGCAATAGCTTTTCTTTTGTATACAAGTACTTGACCTTGTCCCTTATGCGTTCCCCGGTCCGGCCTGTAAAAACCCCTATTACCACCGGTCCCGTATTACAGGGGCCTGGGGTTTGTTTACCTCATGTTGGGCTAAATAACAACATCTGGCAGAGAACCTTTTGTAGCTAAGCATGTTTTGATACTTGAAGCATCATTGGGCTGTATTTAATGTCCCTCTTGAAAGCAGAGGCGATATTTAGTGCCCCTCATTTCGGAAGGTAGTCAATATTCGCACTCCAGCGGGCGAAAAAACTGGACACCATTTGAGCAACCCTTAAAAAGAACCCAGGCGCATTTGCGTAGGTTAACAAATGATGCTACCCAGGGGTAATTCTCGCAAAAACATGCCTCAATGAGTTTTCCCGAATAGGATGTTGAAGCCTACTTAGAGATGAATTTAACACCGGAAGCTATCTGGGGCGGTTGTACTTCTAAATAATTTGCACCTAGCTCCGATTTGCATTTTGACGCAAATAGGGGCGAGCAGTGATCTAAACGTTTCCTTCAGTTCCGTCCAACATCTTTCACAACTGGACATTAATGCGTGAAGATTCACAAACTGATGATTTTCAGAGCGACTTATCTCGAAGCCATTAGTGGGGTTTACATGTTGCATGGTATTTTTCTTTAATTATTGGCACCCAAACAGTGTATTTAAACTATGAGGAAAATAAGTTGTGAATGAAATTGTGAGGGTCATCAGCATTTTAAAGAGGTAAGAAATTTTTCTTCAAAATGTTTAATCGGATAGGAAGATAAAGTGCTATGGCATTGATGGGTAAAAATCCCGCTGTCGGTAATTTTCTTGTGTCCCTTGCCTTGTTCTTCGGCCTCACAGATACATCGAAAGACCGAGGCACAGCCACAACAAAGGAATCTCACCTAAAGGGTTCCAAAGCAAGTTCGATTGTGAGGACTAAAAGTATTCACAGTCATTCAGCATAATTTTTCTAAATCGGTTGAAAGTATCCACGGCCATTATTACGATCTCCGACGTCCTCTGTGGGTCCGCTTTCTTAAATAAAGTTTTTTTTCAGTGCAGTAATACAACCGATATTACTTTCGCCAAGGGATTATTTTGGCAGACATTTTCTGGCTATTAACTGGTGGTTCCTTTTATGTCTACTTACATGTAATATTGAGACAATAAGGGAGGCCTTTTGGTATTGACTTACGAAGTATTATTTCTGCACTGGAGGTTGTTATGGGCAAAGCTCTTGGAAGGTCCTTGGGTGCACTCGCCTCTGTCACGACAGATGTGTCCCTCGTTTTTGTGGCATCTATACCAATTTTAAGCAACTTATTGTTACAGTTGTGTCAGTCAGGCAGCACGAAAACATGGTTGGTCGGTTACTATGAGCAAGAACATTGATAGATTACGTCGCAAATATGTCCTGAAGATACGGACCAGACGCCGAGATGTCTTAAACGCATATCTGAGAAGGAAATTGATAATTTCTGGAAATTTATCGTAATGTATTCATAGGGTTTAATTATTTGTCCTTTAAGCTTGTTTACGCGACACTCTAGGATACGTGACAGAGGTGATATGTAGTCAACCGCTTGAATACTACTGCAGTGGAGATTTATTTGCTGAACGTATGGATATTAGTATTCAGAGACGTTTATTCCTACCGCATTTGCATCCTAGTAACGTTTACCAAACGTAATTTTAATTCGAAAGCTGTTTTACAAATAATTTCGAATTTTCAGATCATATAAACTCTCCCAGAGCCAAGGAAGATGGGACAAACGTAGTGCGATTGTGCATTGTGAGTGGACCTTATCAGATGTACATTGCCAGGCTAATTATTTACAAATAACAGGGCTATTTTCCTTTCTGTAAAGTCTCCTCATGCCCTTAGTCAGCTTTAGTAATGGATGCAACTTCGTTCCTTTTTATTTTTCCTAGTAAATGCCTCTAGCATTACTTAATGGCCTATTGCAGGTCCTTTAACTAATATCGCGATCGCTAAGACTTTAAGACATATATTGTTTAAGAAGCTGAAGGCCATTATTTAACTGAAATCGACGAATCACTTGAATGTTAAGTGAAGTAGTCAGTCGCATAACTATAAGAGTTTTTAAAAGTATTTATAAACTGACTTTTCCAGTCGACGATATATGTCAGGGCTTTGGTCAGTCCTTTGTCCAGGTAACAGTAGTAGTATCCGAAGCGTGTTGATGGTTTATAAAATCTATATCCAATGCGTATTCTGTCATTAGTCTTCCAATAGGCTGAAATATTGGTGGAAGTCGAGGATTAATTATATGATGAGTATTACATGCGGCGATGAAAGGGTACTGAACAACTGATGAGGGTAGGGTCGGCAAATGGCACCCAGTGGACTCAGTATAATTCGGGTAAATAAATTCAAACAAACACAGTGAGCACAGTAATCGCTCTACGTGGGCGTATCCTTCAATTCAGCAAAACCATTCAAATTAGTTTGGCCGACAGCGCAAATAATTTAGCTTATTACTGAGTTCAAATTGGGTGGTGACGAGATTAACAGCACTCGTTCCCAAAATCGTATATCATGGACAGCAAAAACTGTAGGGTAAAATAAAAATTATGTATTTACCGCATTTTTCATCTGGCTGCTTTTCACCGGGTTGCAATCCACTGCAAAATTGCTCCCCATTCATGTAACAACTAACCTGTCAAAAAACGGAAAACATAAGGGGAAAATATTAATTTTGTTATTGTTCCGTAACATAAAATACTGATTTCTACAACGTACATCCTGCAGGTTACTTTCATTGCCATTGAAATACCAGACCAAATTGACAGTGAGGTATTGCGGGCAGACTTCCAACCGATGGCCCTTTCGCACGTAAAAGCCAGCTAAGGTAGATCACATTGTTAAAAGTCAGGCGTTAGAAATGTGTAAACATATCAGGCAACTGCGTCAAACTGCGGAACAAATGAACATACGGACGGTTGTGTCTTCCTCTTTGTGAAGAGTGATTGGACGACTATCTTTTAGCATAACATACGAAACGTTTTGGATGTTTGGAAGCGTCAGGACCGTCGTGTAGAGGTCGTTATCTTAAGAGACAAACACGTAAACCGCAATGTTAGTTTAATAGACCTATAATGAAATCCAGTTATCATTCTATACATTATGTTGATTGTACACAGGACATTTATGTTCATAGCAGACAGTAAGTAACAAAGTTGTCTAGTTTCAAGTGGAAGATCTTTTGTTAAATGAAGCTAGTAGAACGATTGCTCTCGAAATCATTTACGACAGGAAGAAATGTTTGTCCAAAATGATTATAAAACGATTGGAAGCGTACAGTCTCCATAGGGACATCGGAAATAGTCTTGTTTGTAGGTGCACCAGCCCCTTGCCCATGGATATGTTCCGAAAGGTTCCTCGTTTATATATCCGCTCTAAAAATCATGAGCTACATTTTAATTCTAATTATTGGACATGTTTAGTGACGTTCTGGCAAAAAAGAATACTCAACAGGTCGATAAATTTTGACTTTTGTTAACACATTTGGACTTCCAGACTTACCCTATAACTATAGTATACTGGCACAGTTATAGTGAAGTTCCCATTTGCTCCACTCGGGATTACGCGTTTACTCCATTCGCAAATGCTTTCCCCGTACCTAAAATCAACTTATCTTTCTGTTACATGTCCTCCGTGACATAAACTGCGGTTCCGATAAATAGTGATTAAAGGAGTCTTATTTAGATTTGAGCCATTGGGATTGTTGCTTTTCACGGCCTATGCAATATATCCCACTTTTTTTGTAAGACCTCACTACACTAAGCAGTTCATAGAGAAAAGACGCAAATGCTACTTTTAAAGATGGCGGTACACTTCAAGAGGGCTATCTGACATGAGGGGTCAATGAACACCTCATGTTCAGAGGCATGGGCTTGGATATATTGTCAGAAACAACATCCAGCTAAGAAAAACTTTCGAATAATACATGAACATTTTTCAGTCTTTCGAGAAGATCCACTAATCGTAAACAGGCCACGGGCTTCATGTGACTGCCAGAACTTCAAAATGTGCATATGTATGATTTGCTCATACATTTTCCTCGAACAATTCCTTCGTTATAAGAGTTAATTAAATTGATCTCTATGCTTTATTTGCAGACTGACCAAGAATAAATGTCAGGGACGCATTTCTATGACTCCGTTTAAATATCTTACCAAGATTCATGCAAGTTAATAAAATTGGGAGCGTATGGAGTATGAAGAACAAGAATCTCGGGACAAATCGGAAAATAGGCAAAAATAGTTGTAAATTGAATGCCACTGATGTCTTATAACATAGTCCCATGTGCGTTATTTGATGGTGAGGCAGGTGTGAGTAAAATGTGTGTTGGCGTACTGTTGTATAATAATGACTTCGAATGGTTGCAGTCATGTGTTTAAGCTTTGAATAACGAACTAGCTGGACGACTGTCACTTAAAAAGTCACGAACTCTACATACAAGAATTCAGTTTCACTACTGCTGAAAGAATTACTATGGAAAGGTATTTTCCAGAAATGAAAAACAATCACCTACCCTGATTCAAAAAAGTTCAGGCTAGCTAATAAGTAACAAAAAAGGACCGTTGCGCGCATTTTCGCTAACCTGCGCTATACGCCCACGATAGGTGTATTTATTATGGGAGTATGGAACGTCTTGAAGCATCCACCGCCATTTCATTGGCTCACATTGGAAGCAGCATGACAATGCATACTGTTTTTTTTTATACTCCACAGGACGTAAACCCCATCAGGCTGCATAATTCTTCCAGCACTCTAGGTATAGGGAGGCAGAATAATTATTTACAATGGTATTGGTTCGTAATGAAGAGAGAGACGAGAATTTATTGAAATAATCCTTTGATACACCTACTTCGAAATAAGGCACCCTTTTAGTTGCTGCTCCTCATTTTCGATAATGGTCTCTAAGATATTCAACGTGAGTTCCATACATCGACGATAACTCATTGCTTCATAGAAGTTGCGTCAGATTTTATATAATGCATATTGACTAAACTGGGAAAGCCTCCGCAGCTCAGTGGAATTCGAAAAGACGATAGCAAGGCAAAGGTTTTTATACAGCTAAAACTCTATCCACCTGAGCTACGAGGCCCCGCCACAAGACGTGATTTTAGTTCGTATCCTTAGGTTTATCGGCCACCATAATATCTATGGAAATTATCCCTAATTCTAGAAATAGGGGACAGTCAATCTCCCTGTCCTTTGCTTGGTTTTTAGCATTGGGACAGATATGTCCAGTTAACATACTGTAAACAACGTCCTGAACCTGGTGACGGTGGTTAGTGGACGCAAGAAATATGGTAGAAAATTGCATGATGATGGGTTCAAGCGGGAATCCGAAACATCAGGTGAATAAAGTTCTTGTCGCAGTGAACGTGCCTGCTCTTCATAAAACATAGTCCACAATAGCGTGTCCTCGCAGACTGTGAGAGCGACACTGTTTCTTTTCTGAGAGAAGAGAGAGATATTTTCACAGACGTTCGAGTTTGGGATGACATTATCAGTGGAACTCGGTAGTTGACTAGGAAGAAAATGCAATCCTATTCAGAACGTACTTCATGCCGCTTGGCAACGCTGGTAAAACTAATCCGACAAGCAGCCGGTAGCGGACGTCAGTGCAAGATATAAGGTAAAAATTGTGCTAAATAACGAACAGCGAATCCACATCTTCATTCCTTCCAGGGTGTTACGGCGACTTCGATTCCTCAGGCCGATAATAATGTTCGTTCCAGAGCCATTCAAAGTATTGAAACGTTAGATTCAACCTTTTCATCATAAAATAAAATGTGAAACGATTATGACCTTTCCTCATTCATATTGATATTGACCCAACTGTGAAAAAGTCGGGGCCTCGGTGGGATTCGAACCCAAGCAGTAAGGGGAAGGCTTTAGCGCAGCCAACGCTCTAACCACCTGAGCTACGAGGCCTCATTCAATCAATGACTGTCTCATTAACCTGAGCCTGTCCCTTTGCAGGGAATAATTAGTAACTATCGTCGGTACCTACGCCTTCTACCCGGCAACGTCCGTCAAAGTGGTAGACACAGCCTTTTAGCGAGGTCGCCAAAGGCGGACAGTTTACCGGCCTGTGGGATTTCGGCATCCACGTAGTTACCTGGAAGGACGTAACTGAAGCGACAGCCACATCAGTAGTAGTTCCTTCCCTCTACTGGGCTGTCTTGGAAAGGTGCCCGGCCTAGGTCAGAAATGGTCGATTAAACCTGCTCAGGAAAAAGTGAAGAGTGATTTAAAATGTAATGAGTTGGTTATATTAACCCAACTTCGAAAACTCGGCTCCTCGGTGGGGTTTGAACCCACGACAACAAGGAAAGGGCTTTAGTACAGCCAACGCTCTAACCACCTGAACTATGAGGCCCCACCGGGAGATGTGAGTTTAATCACATTTGGGTCAGGTTACCGGCCCAGACAAAGCAACTATGAATTACGTGAGCCTAATAGACAACTGGTGGATTCTAGATGGATTACTTAAGAAATCCTGCTCGGACAGTCAACTTACTGTATCAGAATTGGTGGATTTCAGACGTTGCACTAGGTAAGGCGGGTAACCTGACCCACCTGAGCTATAAGGCCCCATCGGAAGAGGTAAGTTTAATCACATTTGGGCCGGGTAAACTACCGATGTTCACTCACGCTGTCATACTAATCTCCGACGTCTGTAAAAACATCTCTCTCTTCTCTCCGAAAATAAACAGTGTGGCTCTGTCAGTCTGTTAGGAAATGATGATAGGGCTTGCGTCTCATGCAGTTTCCTACCGTATTTCCCGCGTCCACTAACCGCGGTCCCTAGGTTCTGGAAGTGTTTAACAGTATCTTAACTAGACTTATATTTTAGCAGGGTTCTCCTGAAGCAGAGAACAATAGGTCCTAGGCGATACTGCCTATTAAACGCAGCTGACTATCAAACATCCTTCCGGTTGTAGTAACCCACTCACAGTTCTTTTCAGTCTTTATTTAACAACATCAACTGCTGCAAGAATAAAAACTGACAAAGCGATAGGAGGATTCGATGACCCCCCTTTTGTAATTTGGGCCAGTTCCCATGGAGACGAAGGTCATAGGCCAACTTAGGGACAAGGTCAGGCTTAGGAGTATACTTAAAGTTACAGCTAGTGTTAAGGTAGATTTAGGGTCACTGTTAGGGTTAGTACAAGAGTTGGCGCTTTAGGGATTTTGTGCCTCTCTTATGCTAGGACTCAGCAACCCATGACCCGCGCAGTCTGGTGTTTGCTGGCAGTTCTGTAGTGTCTGGTTCGCCGCCGGAAGATGCGCTTACTCTTCCGCTGAGCATATAAGTCGTGCGCATGTTTGCCCAGTTATCCTCATCTTTCTGACCCGTTGTTGTGGTTGGTTAAAAATCTGGTCGGGTGTTTTTTTCGACAAGGGAGTGCGATGGGGGTTTGAGCATGCCAGCCACGCCCCCTCCCGCCTCTGGTCTTCCTGATTATCTTTTGACACCGGGCCCGCATGGGGGGGGGGTAGGAGAGACTGTGATAGACGCTGAGTATGGCCGCGCTCACCATGAAATAATTCACGCGCACGTCGGCGTGCCTGTTTTGACCTTGCTGCAATGCACACGGTAGACATCGTCGGACGCCAGCGTCGAACCGTCACAAGAGTTAATGTTGAGGATCGGGCTATGACGTGGGAATAAATACCCTTTCTGGAATGTTAGACAAGGCCGCCTGTAGTACCCAGAGGGTAGTCCGTGTCTTATCAAACAACCAAATAGCATTTTATCTAACTACAGAGGAAAGCAGGCAGTCGAAGAAAATGAGCTAGGAAATGTCAATTTGGCCCTCAGCCATGAGCCCTGTGAACCTCTACTTACGGTGATAGCATGTTAGAGCTCGCTGAAAGCCACCTTGGAAATCACCTTGGTACAACCCGGCGACTGTATTACGCACCCAGCTTTCAAGATGCCTTCTTGGTTGTTCCTTGTCATCCACAAGCCTCCGGGAACTTAGGGTACAATCCTTCGTTCAAGCTAGCCTGTAAGCCTTCCAGGCCGCTTGTTGTTTTCAAGTCTAATTCGTAAGTACAATTAGTCGCTCGGCAGTTTCTGTTCACATTATGCACGACCAAATGCCGCCGATGGCATCTTGCGAATTAGTACATGCTCATTAAAGCATGGAGGTAGAGTACAAATGCATTACGAAAATATAATCATTAGCGACTAAAGGCGGAAGTTCAGCAACAACAAAAAAGATTTCAGGCGAAAAAGTGCCAAAAAACAAAGATCACTGAAGTGATTTGTACACCGCTGTAAACCGCAGGTCAGATGTCACCTTCCGGCTGCGAAGATCTGAGACTTGAGCACAGGTATGTCAGCCATTGATGTGTTGACCCGCTTGAACCATATATTCAGGCGCTGTTGAGAGCCAGATTTCGGTTTGTTACGCAAACGTAACCTAGAGTCATTCCCCAGGGACCGCCGTGAGTCGACTGTCTAGCGGAGGTCTAAGGCAACAACAAATCTCCCTTACTCGTTTCTTTAAGTAGGATTTATCAGTAGACAGCACACACGCGTGGTTCCGCATTTTCAGAATAGCATAATGTCAAGTCTATCTCCATGATACCCTCCCCTTCTGAAGTCCAGATAGAGATTATGTACGGCTGGACACCTAACGCCAGTTCCTTATCCTGAGGTCTGCTAGTAATTCATCTTATGATGATCATGTTTACATAGAGTCTGCAGTCAGCCAATCACCGTAGCATGATTCACTGTTATTTCTTATTCCAGATAGGAAAGGCCGAAAGTGGAATGTTCATGTCTTTTTGTCAAAAATCTACTCGATGAAGGAATTTGTATACTTTCCTACAGCATGCTGCAAGGCTATTGAGGATTACAGTAATACTCAACGCTTCTGTGTGTTTTGAAAGTTTGAAAGACACCACTTACTTTCTGGGAAAGATAACTGCTCAAAACTAGGTAAGCATTGTCGTTTTGCAGCTGTTTAAACTGCAAAAATTAAATGCGAAAGTGTGCGTTTCCTTGTCGCTATCGAAGATCGCGATTTTTTATAACTTGCGTTTTCACCATCAGCGAGTTTGTTTGTGCAGTCTTCACTAAAATAAGTTCATTCTGTGAAGCGATTCCTCCATTTCATTAATTTTTGGCAGGGCACGGTCTGCGAAAATTCCCCAGAAGCGTCGAACTAAAAATCTGGTTTCTGTTTACGATAATAACGGTCTGCACCAGACTGCCGTTTGGCACTGAAACGGTGAGGTATCGAAAGTTTTTTACGAGAAAAAAATTGTTTTTGACTTCCTCCGCGCTTCATCGCAATGCAGCCGCCCATATTCGCTTAACTTTCAAAAAAGGGTAGTTTATTCCCACCCATCCACATTGTGAATACTCGGATGCGTGTGACACCTACGCAGGCGGCGTAATCACTTCCACGTCTGAAGTTTCTTCTGTGCGAAGAGGGGTTTTGCAGATTACATCTAAATTGGGCAATGACTGGAAAAAAACAAGCAGAATGGTGATAAGTGGGCGTTCAACATAGGCAGACTCTTTTTTCGCAAGGCACCTTGCAGAGCATGGCGAGTATTTGAACGGAAGAGAAACTCGTAAAAACACGATCCAGCATCTTGGGTGTGGTTACAGATGGAAAGCAACACTTACGCGAGACGGAACAAATTCGTTGAAGATTCTCAAAGGATAATGGATTATTCTTCAAAGGGAAAAGGATAGGTTGTGTCTACTAGATGATACACTGTAGCGGAAATCTCAGTCGGATCTGCGTTGCGAGCTGCGTGCCAGACAGGAGACTGGTCCACTAATTCCTTCAGTATGGTTGGAACCGGTTTTCGGGTAGTTATCCTTTCCAATAAATAGCCTATCCCGTCTAGGACACTTTCAAAAGAAAAGTCCATAATGAAACTAAGACTTACCTAAATTGTGTTTTCTAGCTTGCCTTTTGAAAGGACGCCGTTTTAAATGCATTTTCTGGCAACTAGCAGGTAGGGTAGCACCTACGATCAGAATTGATCACAGTGAAACAGCTGATCTGTGCTTATTCTAAGGACTGTTGAAGCTCTACATTTCACAATGCCACTTTTCACGCTGTTCGATAAATGAATGATCAAGTAGCATTCTTGATTCACCACTATTGCCGCCTCAGTTGCTTCCGCCTGTTTTGACTGTCTGGAGCGTACCCTTGCGCCCCTATAACCCTTTACACCCCACTCGAGACTAAGCCATCGTCAGTGGGTAAGAAGTTCATTAAGGTCGGAAATTCAATTCCATGTCAAGCCTTATATTCTCTGCCTGATGGATATTGTTGAATCTCCAGTTTCGCAGTTGGGCCAAAATGAATTATCCAAAAGCTGCCAAACTACTTATTAACTACGCGAGCTTGTAAGTACTCTGATGGATTCCAGATGGATTACTTAGAAAAGCCCGCTTAGGCAGTCAGCTAAACGTATCAGATTTGGTGGATTTCAGACTTTGCTGGACGGGTAAGTTACTTTAATGTGATTAAAGTCGCGTGTGGACTTCATTGCTTAAGTTGCTAGGGCGTTGACTGTACTAAAGCGTCCCCTTTCTGTCGTGGATTCGAAACCCACTCAGATGCCGAGTTGTTCACAGTTGGGTCAGAAGGAATCTCCAATTTCACTTATAATATACCTGTACGTATATCCTCTCTATGGTCATTTATATTAAATGAACTGCTGTTTTAGCATATTTCTTTAAATGATCCTTCCGTGTCTACTTAATTTGTTTCGGCAGGTGGGATCATCTACCGTACAAAAGCTGGACGTCCCTGCATCAAAAACTGAAATACGTGTCTTGACTGACAACAAGAGGGTGCCACCTGTAGTTCTGCCAGGTCATCAGAGGGAACAGCAATTATTAATGAGAAAGCCAAGAAGGGAATTTAATATTATTGAGAAAGATAAACTGGGCTACTCCATCTTTACAGCAAAGCGTGACTGTGCTTTCATTTGGCCAAACCAGTTTTAAACCATTTCCGGGAAAGATGAATGACACCATCAAACTGTAAACTGTGCTGCCTACGTGTCCTGTCACATTTATAACTTAAACAGCGCGTCCAAATCAAGTGATCGGGGAATACGTCTAAATTGGTCCTCTAATATACAGTGAGTGACCGATCTCATGATATGTTGGCTGAAATTCTGAAATGCGTTTTCGATTAGGAAGGGTTACTTGGTCGAGGTTGTAATACTGATTATCTTGCGGCATACTCTTATAACATTTCGGACTCGGCAGGATGTCGGCTTTTAAATGCACTTCTTCTCAATCTCCTGTAGAAAGCGTGCTCGGTAAGAAAAATGACTACTTAAGTAGCATGCATTTTTCCCATTGATTTTCGATGGTCTCGGAAATTCAAATATATTTTATAGAAACCACAAACAAAAATATGCTTTCTTTTAGTCAATCAATAGAGAATCACGTCTGCTTTATATTCTATACTTAAGGAAAGAGTATAATTAGGTTTTAAAAAAGTTTTCTAATTGTCGAATAATTTGGAGCCTGATCATTCGTCGCATTAGCGTTTGGTGATTTCACTCTACAAGGTGCATGCGTTCCGCGTAAAAAAAATCACAAATTTTTCTATGCCATTAAAGAGATATCATACAGAGTCCATAAAATTTTGCGATGGATGCGGATCATGTTGTACATTTCATGAGGAGCAGTGATAAGCGGCCAGGTACGATGCTATGTGAATGAACATTTTGCGGTCTTAAAAAGTCTCATAATTAGAAACTTTTTTAAAACCTAATTATACTCTTTCCTTAAGTATAGAATATAAAGAAGACGTGATTCTCTATTGATTGACTAAAAGAAAGCATATTTTTGTTTGTGAGTTTTATAAAATATATTTGAATTTCCTAGACCATCGAAAATCAATGGGAAAAATGCATGCTACTTAAGTAGTCATTTTTCTTACCGAACACGCTTTCTACAGGAGATTGAAAAGAAGTGCATTTAAAAGCCAACATCCTGCCGAGTCCGAAATGTTAAAAGAGTATGTCGCAGGATAATCAGTATTACAACCGCGACCAAGTAATCCTTCCTAATCGAAAACGCATTTCAGAATTTCAGCCAACATTTCATGAGATCGGTCACCCACTGTATTAAAGGGTTATAAACAGCTTGGACCAAATCGGCCAATGCGTTTTTTACTGAGTGTTATCAGAAACGGCTGCTAGTTATGACCTAAACGCATTATAAACTATTGATACTCTTGGTCATTTCGACAGAATTAATACATATATTCGTTCAAAAATCGATGGAAATTCTGTCGATCACCGGAACGAATGTCCAACGCTTATTGGCGCCTAGATGACATGCAAGCAAAACAACTTTCGAACAGCTTTTGAGATATCTGGCTTCTCGGTGCCCGAAATGTCCTGCACAGTTCAAAGAAATATTCAAGTTTGTAATTTCTATCGAATGAAGACCGCCGTAAACAGTAAACAACAACATAGCCGAGGATTGAAAATAGTTAGGCGATATGGCGCATGCCTTTCCGAGGCTGCCACCGGTCCATATGTGCATACAACCTGACTAGGTTACTCATCCTCAAAGTGCTACGTCATTTGGAAATAGGACTATTATGGCATGCTGCGGAGAAACTCAAAGATGTTCAACCCTTGCGTGCGAAGTAGCACGCGAAACAGTGCGACTAGTGAGAATGCAGAAATCAGTGCGGACGAAACAAGGGCAGCACACCCTTCGCAGTCCTTACGTCAGTCTTAGAGTGGAAAACCGAATCAAGGCCTCCCGACTGTGACGTAGAGGTTGATTAAGCAATGGAACTTATCTATTGCCTGAACTACTGCTCGTAAAGAGCTATTGGCGCTAAATGCGTCAAAGACACCGGGCCTGGATGATGCCCAGCCAAATTACACTGGCAAAGTAGCCATGCGCAGTCAGGACTGTTGCCTTGTTCCCGGTAACTTTATCGAGTTGGCAACTACGACGCATCTGTAAGAACATCCTTTTAAACTGTGTGTGTATGGGGATAGGCTAGACATACGGAAGTTCTTCTTCAAGCGGTAGTAAGGTTGCTTTACCCGCCGGTATCGTTATGTTCACGCCAGCAGTGTGTTTTAAGAGCAGGCAGGACTAGCACAGCATTTTGCATTCAGGGCAAAAACAGTGCATATCTGCTTTCCGACGGACATCGTCTTGTCGCTTTACGCTGGTAATGCCAAACTGTTTCACCTACAGCTGTACAGGATTTAGCAACGTCTATTTATGACAGTATTCGGCACCTCTAACTTATTATACACCATTACTGACACATACACACGCTTTTGACGACACTTGACTTCGCACTGATTTCTCCACAGCATACTTGGGCTCAAATAGACAGCCGTTTAACGTATTAACGGTGCATACGGTAGCTGACTTATCTCATTAGATGTTAGCTGAACTTCTGAAATGCTTTCCAGATTAAAAAGGGATACACAGGTGAGTTTGTAATATTAACTATCATAGGCAGAATGGTATTACCGAAAAAGTCAAGGGAGACTGGCATGGCCATTTCTGGCTTATTAGCCGTCCTCAGACAGTCGTACCCAACCCTGAAGTGTGGAACAGCCGAGGCTCGGACAGGCGACCTGTTAGTTAGAAGTCCACGCCTCTAACCACTGGGTCACGATCACATTGCCCTGTCGGTTTCGATCGGGAATATACACTGGCAGGGGGCGTTGTCGTTGTCGGTAATACCATACTGCCTATATCATGCGCCGCTGTACAGCTGCTGGTTGGGCTCGAGAGAAAGCCCGTAAGGCAGAACGGAACGAATGAGTTCCGTAAGAACAATCAGTGAGCGCTCCCTAGCATTGTATATTCCCAAACAAAACCGACAGGACAACGGGTGCGTGGCCCAGTGGTTATAGGCGTGAACCTCTAACTAACAGGTCACCAGTTCGAGCCTCGGGTGTTGTACACTTCGGGGTTGGGTATAACTGGCTGACGACGGCTAATAAGCCAGAAATGACCATTCCAGTCTCCCTTGTTTTTGTCGGAAATACCTTTCTGCCTACTTCTGTATATACCCGTTATCGTCAGATTTTTCTGCAAGAATCTCAACAATCGACTCTTATTCTCCTTCCGTGCTGCTGAGTTCTCTTTTGGGGATTCGATTGTGGAATATTGTTGACCGGGCCACCAGCTTAGCGTTACGGCTAGAGCATAACACTCGGTACGGTTGCACACTCTGGTCCACAGTGTAGTGCTAAGCGCGTATCTCGCTGCCGACCTGGACTGCTGTTCCGTGCGTGGTCAAGTCTTCCCTTCGCCCTAGGTCGAGAATTTACTCTGCTTGCGCTCTCCATAACACCTCGCGCTTTTGTAATTTGGATCTCGTACCTCTTCTTCTTCGGGTTCAAGATGAGTGGTTTGGGGGTTAAATTTTCCTGTAACACTTGTGGACGGGAGATGGCGTCGGCTTTATGTCTACATTGGGAGTCAGGGCCTCAAAGGTCTATTCGGCCATTTGTGGTGAGCCTGTGTCTCAGCTGGTCCGCATGCCGTTTAATTTTCCCATTTGTGTCTCCACTTCGAAGACAACGCTTCTCTACATTCTGGCAGAGCCCTGTACCCGTGGTTGGTCGCCGCGTTTTTTATTTCAGGCAAACGCCTTTCTCTTCTGGAAGCAGTCTTTTAGCGTTTTCGATACTCGGACATCAGCTTTTAAGCATTCGATTGTCGATCCGAAAAACCCTAGGCTGGGGTTTGGCCGCCTGGACCACTTTTCGGAGTTGTTCTGTAGACCAAAAGGGACGTTTCGAGGTGGTCCATTTCAACGATCGCCGGTCCTACTTTTTTCATTGCTCTCTTGAAGCCATCAACAAGACCTTCTGCTTGGCCGTTCAGATCGGGTTAAATGCCGGGCATATCACATGCCATGTTCTCCATTTCTGCCACAACTGTTGAAAAAGTGATGACGTAAACTGCGTGCCGTTTTCTGCCACAATCTCTGTGGGGATGACATACCTTGCAATAAGTCCTTCTGTCTCCTTTTTATTAATTTCGACATTGGATGTAATGATGTCGAAAACTTCCAGTCATTTTGACCATGTGTCAACAACTACGAGAAACATTCGGTTAAAGAAGGATCCAGATAAGTCTGTATGGACGCCACCCCATGGTCTCGTCACCTCTGGTCATGGGACGGGTGTTACGTTTCGTGGGTTTTTAGCCTCGCGTCGACGAGGACCGCAACCTTGAACGAAAGATTCTCCATCACCTTCAATTTCTGGCTAATATATGTACCGTCGAGCTAGTTGTTTCATGCGCGTCATACGTTGGTCGCAGTCCACGTAAAAACAGTTGCTGATGTCCAGTCGGGATAACCACTTTACTTTCATATATTATACATTCTTTGGCGATATGCAAATGCTCCTTCCGGTTCCTGACATCTCTTATAGCTGGGTGTACCTCATATTCTTTTGGCCAACCATTCGGAATAAACTCCTTTACCTGACGTAATAGTGGCTCTGTTGTGCTGGTTGCCCTGACATGTTCAACTGTGAGGAGCACCTGTCCGATAACGTCTTTAAACTCGCCGTCGCCTTGTTTCACAATGCTTACGATCACCACGTATTCCCGTTTCCCTTTACCCACGATCAGTCACGATGGAGCGTCCGAAGCTCCAAAATTCTGAATGAGCATAGCGCTCATGCGTCCTATCCTCTCGGCCGCGTACTGTGATACGCCACGATTTGTGTTCGATGGACCATGTGAAGAACGAAACTTCTACCGTAAATGAACTTGTGGGCTTTCTGTACTGCAAATATTGTCGCCAGCGCCTCCTTCTCGATTCAACGGCAGTTTCGTTCTGCCCTCGTGGGTGATCACACAATATCCATTAAGGTCAGGATAATTCCGTCTGAGACCTTCTGAAGAAGAACGCCATTTAGCAGATAATTAGATGCATCCGTCTGGACCATTATTTCTTTATTCGCCTCAGAAATGTGAGAGCACGTTTTGTCCGCTAATCTTCGTCTTTGTCCTGTCAAACGCTCCCATCGAACCCCTTTTCCCAGCCATCACCATTTCTTCTCATGAACTGCTTTCTGGAACTCGCCTCTTTGCTTTTTTCGTTTGAAATATCCAAGCAGCCTCATTGATGGATAGCTTTGATTATTTATTCGCGAGGGAAAGTGCTAGCCAATGTGACCTGACTAAATACTGCGAAGTTGCACCATCTCCAACTATACCAGGCCTCGTGAAGGGAAAAATCAAGGTCAAAACAAGCGAACAAGCAAACAACAACCCTCGTCCTCATTCCTCCATATTACCCACGGTCGACTCTATCCATTCTGGCAGCCTGCAATGTTCGTCTTCTTCTAGACAATGCGCGGACCGTAAAACAGGATGAGGTTAGTCGCGGAAGGCCCAGTGAGCTATAAAGTAGGCATCACTACCCTCCCCGAGACAGGGTACTCTGAACAAGACCAACTAGATGAGACTGGCGCAGGCTACAAAGATAGGACAACGCGACGCCGACAACGTCTTCTCCACTCAGAGTGACAAACTGGGACGACTGCATAACAGCTTTAGTGTCTCTGATAATCCTGTGGCAGTCGGCACCTCCTTGCTCCCCTCCGCTTTGTCATACTGCCATCCTGTCTGCCTCACCCTCCCTGTCGATCGGCTGCTGGGACGCGCGGTCCCGTCGCTAGCCTCTCGATGCCAATGATTGGTTCCCCTTCCTCTGATTGGCTGGCGGACACTGAGGCAAAGCGACAGGCGCACACACGCGATGAACTTTAGGTACCTCAACAGCGGGCACGACACAACCATCTTGGAGAGATCGCTCTCGGCGACCGCTTGCAGAGCCTTTATGTATGCATGTCCTCAGCAGCAAAAGGTTCCCAACCCAATCCGTCTTCCCTGATTTCTGATTTGAGAATCTGTGTCTTGTCGACTATCCCATCCCGACAACCCTGTGTATGCATCTACGGGGAGGAAAATTTGACATCATCATCAGCATCTACGCCCGCCCCTAATAACCAGCTGTGGCAACGTGAGAAACCAGCTCCTCAAAGAGCTGCACACCGACCTGGCGACCGCGATGAAGGCAGGCAAGCTGGTCACACTTGATGACTTTAATACCAATGTCATTACAGATTTTGTTGCCTGGAATGACGTGCTGGGTGCCTCTGAACTTGGAGTCTTCACTAACAATGACCTCTCCTTCTGTTAGCCTGTGCAGTGTACCCTCTCTTCCTCATCAACATATTTCTCAGCCTTTCGACGCGTGAGAAGGCAGACTAAATGTACCGTTGATCGCGGCGCCGGCAACGACTGAACTAAGTTCTTATACAGAGACGAGATCGACAGGACGTGCTGGTAACAAAGGCGACCTGCGAAGACGACGGCTAAATGGCTCCCTGACTCTTCCTCTCCAATATATGGCTCTGACTGTAGCCTCGTAGGTCACAAGGTAAGTGATCATTAGGTAAGTTAAATATCGTTTTGGTGGATTTATCTGCAATGGCCCACAGGATCTTGGAAGCCAGCCAAGTCTTCGGTTGGCTGCAGAACTCCGTATAGCTACGCCATGGTCTCCAAGTCAATATCCAACTGAAGATGTACAAAGCGGTTATCTTGATTACTTTTCTGTACAATCAAGGGGACTAGGACAGAATATGCGAATTAGGAGCAGATAGTCAATCACTTTCACCTCAGTTGTCACCACCGGACAATAAATTTGAGGGGGAAGGACAGGATCCCGGACGGATAAATTCTGGAACGGAATGATATCCTTAACATACACATCATGCTCAGGAATCTGCGACTACAGTGGAGCGGCATCCCGCGAGGAGGGACAACGCTCCACTAACAAAACAAGTCACCCGAGACGATATCGCTTTGGGTGCTCCCCGGCAAGTAAGCCAACTCCGCCGCTAACATTACGCCTGGAAGGACGTCATGAAACGCCCGTAAATAAACCCGTAGACTAGGAGTGACCTCGAATCGAATCGACCGGCGTAGATAAGAGCAGTGAGAATGGAGCAACCATTTATGAAGCCAACAGATTCGCCGTTGCCAAATTCAAAAGGGACGTTCGCAGGTCCCAGGCGACCCTGACACCTCGCATCAACCTTCAACCCCCCACCCCCTCCCAACCTGCCCACGACGTCAGCGAATGTTCCGCTCGCGGATCCAAATCCATTGCACCAACCATCTGACAACCCCAATTTCTGCCACCGCGTCCGCCCCTGCTTAAACCCCCATGACGTCCACGAACGCGCCTACACTCACCAACGCTGCTCCGAATCCTCGTGCCACGTCCCTGTCAATCATCGCCAACTCCATCATCTCTGCCGGAGCCGTCGCGGCGACAAGCACTTCTACCAGCTCTGCTATCAACCGAAACGCTCCCACCGGCAGCCAGCAACCACCCTCACCAATTTCGCTCCCATCTCTAAAGATGTGGCCTCAGTCCCAACCTCTCCTTACTGCCATCGCACATACCTATCACGCATCGGAGTGTTTGGTCACTTGCGAATCAATCGCACATGGACTGGCGAACCAGTGCCTGGAGCACCAACATATGCTCACCGCATCCGCCTCCGTTGCCCACACTGCACACACGAATTCTATCACCACAGGGGTCTGTGTGGACACATGCGTGTGCACGAAATACCTGCGGTAGAACACCGCCGGCTACACCGCATGTGGCAGTCCGCACCGCCTTGCTTTCCGCCACCTTGACATGATTTCACTAGCCTCACCAGTGCTCGAAGCCAATTAACGCTGTCCTTTGTCCGATTGCCGTAGCACACTGTGGCAGAGCTCTGGGGTCTAGGCACATCAACGGCGGACACAAAACAACTTGACCGAAGGGAGTGCTGGCAGAGCCATGTGAAAGCATTTCTTCATCAGTGAAGTTTGCCCAAACCAAACCCTCTACCATGACGTCAGATTTGGAAATATGCGTTGGTGATCGCAACATTGGACACTTACACAAACACGCACACACAACATCTCTCCTGACCAGCACCTACAACACACGTGACCGTACCCAATACCACACAAGACAGGCACCTAATTGACACCCATCACGTAAGTGAGAAGTATATTTCTCGGCTCCTTCTCCGTGTAGTTCATCTGCTGCATGTGTGATCCGAGCGGGAGACTATCACGACTCTCTATGTGCTGTGGACTGAAAGGTCGCAAACTAACGATGGAACTCAGATCTCGCAGTCAGCCCAGTGTGTGTTTGTACGGAATGGACGACGTTGGGTTGGGGATCAGGGCAAATGGATTGTATGTAATCCCCTTGATTGGTCTATACTCTGCCGTAAAACTAACGTCAACCACGGCTATTCCTTCAATGGGAAATCACCAACCTTAAGTCAAGTCGTGAAACCCTAACAATGTTCTCAATCCCAAATCCAAACCGCAACCCAAGCCTGAAAACCCTAGTTTTAAAAATCCCCCAATTTACCAGTTACCTAAAACGGGCAAATTTAACGCCCATGTCTCTATCGGAGATCAAAATTCACATACTCATAACTGCTATCGCGCCACGCAAACCATCATGAAGCACAGCTAACTAAAACAAGAAGGCAGGCTTTTAAGAAACCACTGAGGGGGATTACCAGATTCAAGTCTCTTACAATCACACGCATGCGAGATGATGCTGTCCGCTCATTATTCTGTGAAATAAGTGTTCGTATTTTGGGAGGGGGGTGGGCAGGTCGTGTATGTGGCACGCGTAGGTGAGGTTACTTGCCATGTCATCCACTGCGAAAATCCCCCGGACATGATGACCGCCCAGCACAGAAAGTGGCTGGGGTCTGGAAATGGGAGCAGAGAGTAAGATCGACATCTCAGTGCACTTTGCTCACTATAAACAATCTCATGTGATTGAAGATATCAAGGGACGCTTAAAGCCGTGACTTGGAACCTTTCCAACTAATGGGATATAATCTGACTTCGCGGTCATGCCAACTCTGCATTTGTGAGCGGATTGGCGGACTGGTGAACTGAAAGCCTGGCTGCAATGGCTCACTCCTAATGTGACTTCTATGGCACCCCCAATCTGTGGGCTTCGAACAGTCCCCTCATCACATATTCTGTGTGAAATACTGCTCAGCGTGCACAGTGGACCGGGGAGTGTGGTGGTACGCCTAGGTGCAGGTATTTCCTGTGCCAAAAAGCCTGCGATATCTGCCAGAACCGACCTTTTGGATTCTGTCCTGAAATCGGCACCAGGTGGAAGAGAAGAGGGCGCGGTAGATTCTGCAAAAGTCTACTAGCATTATAAATTAATTTAGGTGCAAGTCGTCGTTCCTGTTCTCACCGCGCACTTCAGCGCATGGTGTATATCTTCGGCAACGACGGTCGAACTGTCTTATAGTACTGACTGGACGTTGGCAGTTTTTGAATATAACTAAGCTATTCTGTTGTTGCTAATGTATTTCGGCACAAATAATCATATCAACATTCAAACCCAGCCAACAGGCATTTGTTCCAAAGCAGTTATCTCAAGTTATGCATCAAATTCCAAGGTTTCATGCTCACGGATTCTGATTGAGTGAGATCAAACACGACGCCTCTGAGGTAGCACAACACTCCACATATCCAGCCCTCCTACTGACTTACAAAGGACCACTGTGCAACTCCAGTGCTCATCAATTGCATATCGTCCATCCAACTATTTACGCCAAATCACATTGCCTGCTAGCTGCCACTGCGGCATCATCTAGCCACACCCGTTGTCAATGAGAAACCAAAAAGACTCATACTTCCAAATATACTCTTGTATACTTCATATTCAACTGCATACAGGTGAGAATAGGGATCGGTGGAAGGCGGGATGAGGTTGGGTGTGGTAGGTTGCTGTCAAAATCTACAAGTCTCTGGATTTTCGTTGAAGTCCTTCTCCTCGGATATTAAACAACAACACAGACGACGGAAAACCCGACGAAGGAAGCGACCCACGCCAGATCGACGCTAAAAAAAAGGAGTGTGATTTGTCAGGTAAATGAAAACGGATTTGCACACCCAGTCCAACAAATCCAGACACCTGCAATTCAAAAGGTCAAAGTAAGTAGCTTACGCGTTGGGAGCTCACGGATACTTCCTCCACCACGTCATCTCCTCCCATGCAAAGAATGCTCACTGCTGTTTCGAACGATCTGGTGACGCTGATGGCAGGCCACTTCACATCTGCAAAGACAAACAGTCCAGAAGGGTAAGCCTATGCAGTGGTCTGAAGTGGTCAGTGTACTGCACAAACACTGTGCTGGCAATTGAAAATCATAGGCAACCTAGTCATGTCTCCATGATCCTCATGTACGATGCGTTGAACCAAATCTGTTTATATGGAGGAGGCTGCTTACTTGACTTCCTTTTGACAAGGCGTCTTGGCCAGGCTCTGTGGGCTGCGTAGATGAGGCAATTTTCCAGTGTGACTGCCTCACACATGTCACCTGCTGCCTGCACGGTCAGGAAGGCACGCCGCTTCCTGACAAGCGGCAGCCTGCCCACTTCACTACAATAGAAAGAGAACAGAGTTGAAGAATATTGCAACCGTATCCAGTAGCTCCAGCTGTTCTCGATCCTAATAGCAACAATCATTAAGGAATTCGACAGTGCACATTGGAGCAAACCCACAAAGGGCAATTACCTCGACTCCATGAGCTTGTCCGAACGCCACACCGGCAGTGGCGCATGCACGCGCATTTCTGCCGGTGTGGATACCGAATGTTCCGACACCCAGTCGGAAGAACTCAGTGTCGACACTGCCTCACTGTCTAGACTCGTGAGGAGAGCGATGTCCACCTCGGTGGACATCTCCTCGTCTGGAATCGCCAGTTCCGATCGGACGTTGTGCATGTTGACTTCTTCCTGCACGACTAGCTTCTTCATATCAAAAGGAGGACCGAATGTCATTCTGACAAAGGAGTCCGTATGACGGGGTGTTGGTACTGGTAAAGAATGCTCGGCAGATATCCTGGACGCTGGTTGTTGGCATGTTGCTGAGCTGGAAGCAAGGGAGGCGGGTGGAGGAATGATTGACGGACGGTAGTTGGAGGAATCGGAAGAAGGGGTCTGGGGCTGGTGCCAGAGTTGGCGACGAGGTCGGGGAGATGGGGATCCCTGATCGGGATGCGAGACGGCGTGGAGAGAGCTCTGTACTGAGTCCTCATCGCCACCATCGCAAGCTTGTGATAATACCGTAAGTGAACTACCTGAAAGACAAGTGAATGCACATTGCCAAACTATAACCACAGAACCAACAAATAATTGCAAGGTGTAAATGCTCTTTAGAAATTTGGTCATTATTCACTGTCACTGTGTGGAAGCGTGCAACCTTCAATCATAGAAACCACACGGTACATAAGATGGCGAATGGATCCCGACAAATCCCATATCTGACCAGCGGTGAACGTCAGTTGGAAGGCTCCCTAGTCATCGCCTAAATCCTTCACAAATAGATTCGCTCACCCCCCCCCCTCCACTAGCACACAGAAGATTAACTTTTATGAACTACCTAGCTGTATGAGGGTTGCATGTCTGAGATACTTGGGGATGGAGGTCTAGGAAAAATGTTCTTACGGCAATATCTCTTCTGTCAACTCAGTAAAATAAAGGGAATACAACGGGACGGAGTGGCTCACTCATGATCCCTGATGAAGTCACCGATTAGTTCGGAAGCTACCCTGACAGGGACTCACTAGGCAAGTGAATGTTATCGTAGGCTAAATATTCAGTAAGCATATTGAACCGCAACAGTGAGCAGATTCTAGAAAGTATCCGTAAAAAGGGTAGGCTATCGAAGGCTTATGAGAGTGAAGCTGCATATTTCTACACATCTTGCATGTCTTTTAAAAGCATTCTGCAGAGTGAAAGCTACTGCTGAGAATTAAGCAATCTCATCTATCTGGCGTCTAATGAAAGCAAACTAATAATTCTAGAACTTTACAAAAATTGACAAATTCTAGTATGGTCCTCACGCTGATAGCGAAGGCCCGAAAGAAATATTAAATAAAGTCCAACCGCGGGTTGGACTGAAAACAATAATAATAATAATGTCACAGGACTTACCGTATTGTTCTACAAACTCTGCTGTGATGGCTTGATACCGCCTACGTTCTACATCATACGTACGAAGTAGAAGGTAATACAGGAACTCGAGTCGTGCAGCTAAGAAGCTCAGGAGGAGATACGGCGAAGTAGGCATCCTCAACAGAACTGACAGTCTGGCTACTTTCAAACTCAGTAATTATTGATCCGTCCTGTCCAAATCCCGACTATCGACCCGAAACTCCTTCTGAGCGGTGGCCAACCACGTGGTGAGGGCGGCAACCTACAGGCATGTGTTGCACGTGGACCGTCAAATCGGCCACTGGGTCCGCAAACACTTAAGCGCCGAAGTTCAGCACGCAGTCCTCTATGTCATCGTTAAAGTAGATAGTCAGAAACAACTATACTCTTTGTTATCCGTGTACAATACGTGACCTATCTCATGAAATCTGATAACGGAAACTGATGAGAGAATTTCTGAACGTCTTTATCGTTGCGCATTTTGTTCGCTTATCCACATCGAATGATTGTCAATCACTCGGAAACCGACACGATTTTATGAGTCCAATGTCTATGTTAATTAAGTACAAGTTTAAAAGAACTTAGAGCATAAAAGAAATATTAAAGGCACTGTTGCGTTGTTTAGAAATGCCGATTTAGTTTGAAAAGCGCAATAACTCGAAAACGTCAAAAATGGCTCTAATCTAGTTCACTTTGTTCTTAGATGTATAGAATGCATTTTCATACCAAAAACGTAGTAAATGTGGCGGTGGAAATCAAACAACTTCAAATAATAGTGTTTCAGTGAACTTTGCATCTAAATATCGTTTAATAATTAGTGTGATTTCATATATTTCGGAATCGACATGGCAACGGTTTCGTGGCCCAGTGGTTAGAGGCGTTGGACCTCTAACTAACAGGTCGCGAGTTCGAGCCTCGGTTGTTCCACACTTCGGGGTTGGGTATGACTGGCTGACGACGACTAATAAGCCAGAAATGACCATTCCAGTCTCCCTTGCCTTTGTCGGTAATGCCATTATACCTATTCCCGTACCTACCCTTTATCGCCAGATTTTTCTCTTATGATCTCAGCAATCGACTCTTGTTCTCCTTCCTTGCTGTTGACTTCTCTTTTGGGGATTCGATTCCGGAGCAATGTGCTGAAGTACTTGACTACTTGACCTTTGACAATCTAGTCACGTTTGTTTTACTGTAGCATTTGTTTTAACGTGACGAGGACTCCGCCGCTTGTAGGCTTCGCGCCGCTTGCGTGCTCTCTGGTCAGGTCGTTGCACATTTTGAATATTAACTTTATTCATTTAATGGCCTTCCTTACCTCTCTCCGTTTATGAGGTTAGTAAGCCGTAGTTCGTTAGTTCGCGGGAACGACATAACTTACGTCAGTATTGTTGGTCGGGCCACCAGTGAAGCGTTACGTCTTGAGCATTGCATCCGGTACTGTTGCACGCTCTCGTCCACTGTCTAGCCTTAAGCTCGTATGTCGCTGCCGACCTGGACTGCTGCTCCGTGCGTGGTCAAGTCTTCCTTTCGCCCTAGGTCGTGACTTCACTTCGCTTGCGCTCTTTATAACACCTCGCGCTTTTGAAATTTGGATCCCCTACCTCTTCTTCTTCGGGTCTAAGACGAGTGTTTTCGACGGTTATGTTTTCCGGGGTGTGTTTTTGCGGACAGGGGATGGCGTTGGCTTTATGCCTATCTCGGGCGTCGGGGCCATAGTAAGTCGAGACATATTCGGCTACTGGTGGCGAACCTGCGTCTCAGCTGATTCGCATGCCGTTCACCTTTCCTATTTCGAAGACAGCGCCTCTCGACATTCTGACAGTGCCCTGCACCCATTGTTTGCAAACACCTCTCCTCCCTTGCTAAAGCAGCCATTTAGCGTTTTGGAAACTGGAGCACATATTTTAAGCTCTATAGTCGTACATTAATTTGTCGGCCCAAAAACGCTCGGCTGGTGTTTGGCCGCCTAGACTACTTTTCGGGGTTGTTTTGCGGACCACAGGGGACAGCCCCATTTTTTCTCATTGTTCTCTCGAAAGTGTCAACAAGACGTCCTGCTTGGCCGTTTGATTGGAAGTGAAATGCTAGGGCCTGTCACATGCCCGATTCTCCTTTTCTGACACAACTGTTGGAACAGTGATGACGTAAAGTGAGTGCTGTTTTCTGCCACAATCTCGGTGGGGATGACATACCTTGCAACAAGTCCTGCCGACTTCTTTGCTTTGATTTCGAAATTGGATGCCATGATGTCGAAAACTTCCGGCCCTTTTTACCATGAGTCAACAACTGCGAGAAATATTCGGTTAAAGAATGGTCCAGCGAAGTCTGTATGGACTGCACCCCACGGTCTCGTCACCTCCGGTCATGAGACAGGTGTTACGTTTGGTGGGTTTTTAGCCTCGCGTCCACGAGGACTGCAACCTTGAACGAAAGATTCCCAATCACAATCAATTTCTGGCTAATAAATGTGCCGTGGGGCTAGTTGTTTCATGCGTGTCATATGTTGGTCGCCGGCGTGCAGTCCACGTAAAACCTGTTGTTGATGTTCAGCCGGCATCACCACTTTACTATCATACATTTTACATTCTTTGGTGATGTGCAAATGCTTTTCCTGGTTCCTGACATGTCTTATAGCTGGGTGTATTTCGTCTTCCTTTGGCCAACCGTTCCGAATAATCTCCTTTACCTGACGATTTCGCCTTTGAGAAAGCGAGGGTAATTGGTCGAGCCAAAGAGAAGATAGCCAGACTGGTGCTCGAAAGTTGGTCCTCGACTGGCACACTCCACGGAGCTATCGATATACATTCCGCCTACCAAGCGCTGCGTACAAGGCTCGGATCAGTCCGGACAGGACCAGTAAGGTAAGTGAGCACGCGGGACCGAGAGGCAACGCTCAATGAAAAGAGCGGAGTTGGGGGCCATAGGTCATGTGACCAAAGCCGAACACTGGCTCACCGATGCGCCCGCGAAGCTGAATGCTGCTCACATGAACAGCAAAGACCTACCAGCCCACCGGCTGACGGGGGAGAGGTCAACCGGCACGTTGACTCGACTACAATTACGCCGACCCCAAAGGGAACAAAGGTCACGCAGGCCTGTCAGCAGTCAGCCCACGGGAGGTCTAAGCCAGTCAACGGCAAACAGGCAGGTCAAAGTTCGTGCGTCGAACACGGCTATAATGCGAGGCAAGCGGCAAGACTGAACAACTCAAGACCGGCAGGAGCAACAAGTACGCTACTAGAATGATAGAAACAGGAAAGTTTCCGAAACGTCAGTTCGAATACAATATGTTTAATGAACTCGCCCTCTCATTTTCTTCGTCTTCTTCGGGAGATTGTGAACGCGATACAATGTCTGGAGCTCGAATCTTTACGCATATCGTCAGATATATATATATACACATATGGTAGAGGGCGCTCACCGATGGTTCATACGGAACTCACTCGTTCCGTTGTGCTTTCAGGGCTCTCTCTGGAGCCCAACCAGCAGCCGCACAGCGGCGCATGATATATAGGCAGAACGGTATGGTCGACAAAGACAAGGGAGACTGGAATTGCCATTTCTGGCTTATTAGCCGTCGTCAGCCAGCTATACCCAAGCCCGAAGTGTGGAAAACCCGAGCCTCGAACTCGCGACCTGTTGGTTTAGAAGTCAACGCCTCTACTCACCGGGCCACGAGCCCGTTGCCCTGTCGGTTTTCGATCGGGAATATACAATGTTAGGGGGCGCTCACCGATCGTTGATACAAAACTCACACGTTCCGTTGTGCCTTAAGGGATCTCTCTCGAGCCCAACCAGCAGCCGCGCAGCGGCGCATGATATATAGGCAGAATGGTATTCCCGATCGAAAACCGACAGGGCAACGGGCTCGTGGCCCGGTTAGTAGAGGCGTTGACTTCTAAACCAACAGGTCGCGAGTTCGAGGCTCGGGTTTTCCACACTTCGGGCTTGGATATAGCTGGCTGACGACGGCCAATAAGCCAGAAATGGCAATTCCAGTCTCCCTTGTCTTTGTCGGCAATACCATGTTGCCTATATATATATATATATAATTCATGAGCAGTTCGCTAAGAGTGCAACAGGCCAGACGCAGACAGCTGTTTCACGGTCGATGCCGATCATCAGTACGTCATAGGCTTTATGAAGTGAGGTATATAAGCATGTCAAGTGGGCGTCTGACCCTCACTGTTGTGGTTAGGATCTCACTCGATTCCATTCTGTCCGCCCGCCAGCTTGCTACTGGCGACAACGAACGCTGTGTCATAGGACACATACCACATATAATACATGAGCAGCTCGCTAACAGTGCAACAGGCCAGACGCAGACAGCTGTTTCACAAGGCCTATGACGTACTGATGGCCGGTAACGACCGTGAAACAGCTGTCTGCGTCTGGCCTGTTGCACTGTTAGCGAGCTGCTCATGTATTATATGTGGTATGTGTCCTATGACACAGCGTTCGTTGTCGCCAGTAGCAAGCTGGCGGGCGGACAGAATGGGATCGAGTGAGATTCTAACCACGTCAGTGAGGGTCAAACGCCCAATTGACATGCATATATATATATATATATATATTGCAAATTGCGTTTCACGCAGGTGGTCAGTAAGAAGCCCATTTGAAAGTCGACATTTAATCTTGGCCGGCGTTTTTTATTATTATGTAACAGGATGGCT